GGCCGGCCTCCCCTTTGTCTGCGCGGGTCCCTCCGCGGGCTCAGCCCTGCCTCTCCGTCTCTGTGCCCCTCTTGGGCTCTGTCTGATGCAGGCCGAGTCTCTGTCTCTCCTCAGTTCTCTGCCCCAGCAGGCCCTGTTCCTTCGCATCTGTCCCTTTCTCCGTCCCAAATCCTGTGTTTTTGACTCTGTCCCTTCGCCTGCCTCCGGCCTTCTCTTTGCTTCTACCTCTTTCTCTCTGTGTCGGCCTTTTGTTGGTATCTTTGTTCTAAAAGCAGCAAACAAACGGGCGGAGGTGGCACGCGCTTGTCATCGCAGCCCTCGGAGGCTGAGGCAGGTGGATTGTGAGTTCGAAGCCAGCCTGGGTTTCATAGTGAGTTCAAGGCCGGGCTGATTTCAAGGCGAGACCCTGGCTGACTCGCCAGGCACAGACCAAGCCTGCACTTTGAAGACATGAAAACATGCCTAGCCAGGGATTTAGCTCAGTAGTTCCGCTGCCTGCCTCGCAAGCACAAGGGCCCGAGTTCCATCCCTGGTTCCAAAAAAACATGCCTGCCTTTGCTTAATCCAAACCCACCCCCATTCTTTTCTTTGTGATAGCCAAAGCCTCCACTGTTTCTGAGCAATATTCTTTCACACCCTGAGAAAGGCAGAGTCTGGAATGCTCTCGATTAATGTCTTTCACCTCCTACCCATATACCGGTCTCTGCTGTCCCGCAGGTCATTCAGGGGCCCAGCTCCAGTGCTCATTTCTGGAGAACCTCAACCTGGACTGGGGAGACGTCTGGACATACTTCACCCCAAGACACAGATCCCTGCCAGAGAGGAGGCAAAAAATAGCTCCCAGCAGCCAGGCCCTGATGTTCTCTATGAAACCTAAACACTGGTCACGGAGTATAAACAATGATCAGACGAGGCTACTCTGTGCCCTCATCTGAACCCAGATAGACACAAGGACAAACTGCAGCCACAAAAATGAGTGCACACCCTCCCTGCCGGTGTCAGGTCTGATTTCCAGTCCTGCCACCTGCAACTTCCTCCCCTAAATGTACAGAGCAAGCTGCAAAGTGAGGTCATTCTAGGGACGGACAGTGAGTCAGACAGGTCTGGTTGTATTGGCTGAACTCCTGGATACAATTGAACCTGAAGCCAGAGACCCTCATTCTTTGCTTAGTTCTCAGAACCAGCAAATTCCTGTGTGTTCGAACTTTATGTAGTGGATTTTTGTCCCTTGCAGCCATGATGTTCTTTATTTTTTTTTTTTTTTTTTTTTTTGTTTTTTTTTTTTTTTTTTTTTTTTTTTTTTGTGCTGGGGATCAAACTCAGGACTTTGCACTTTTGAGCCAGGCTGCCACTGAACTAAATCCTCAGCCTCCTGTACCCATTTTTATCTCTTCTGTCTTGGATCTCTGAGCCTGTGTCTCTTGAGGTTGCAGCTTGAGGGACTTTGAGGAAAAAATACCAGGGTCAGAACATGTGGGAACATCCATGCAGGCTTCAACAAGGTTAAAAGACGTAAACTTCTTGCATGTACTGCTTAAGAACACAAGACTTTCTAGGTGTGGTGGCATACACCTGTGATTCAGCACCATGGGAGGCTGAGGCAGGAGGATCATGTGTTTGAGCCCAACCTGGGCAACTCAGGAATTTAGCAAGATCCTGTCTTTGAAAAATGTTTTAAAGTCTAGGTGCCGCAACGTACAATACACAGTACACAAAAAAAGAATGAGATTTATTCTTCTTTGTGAAATTGGTAGAACTGAATACCCTGCCCCAAACTTAAAAAAAAAAGTGGGAAACAATAAAGTGGGAGATAAATTGAGGTTACCAGAGAAGGGGGGGATACTGGATGTCCTAGGCTACTCTCAAACATTGAATATCCCCTGTTCTACAAAAGGCAAAACTTCGCTGCTTCTAGCATTACACACCTAAAATCCCAGCTACTCAGGAGGTCGAAGCAGGTGGATCTCAAGTTCAAGTCCAGCCTGGATAACTTAGCAGTGTCCAGTGTTAAGACAAGAAATGAAAAAAAATGTAGTGCAACAATATAGCCCTTGCCCAGTTTGAATGAGGCCCTGGGTTCCATCCCCAATACTGCAAAAAGAAGAAAAAAGTAACAATTAACCACCCTCCAGATTATAACTTGGGGCAAGATAAGGTGCTCTGGGAAAACACAGGTCTGATGCTAGAAGATGGGGTCAAAAGCAAGACTGGAAACCAGACCCAAAGATCCAAAGAGGCTTAGGGGACCAGATATCCCCCAAGCAGGGCCAACCCATCACAGTGTTCCATTTGCCTGGGCATAGTGATTGGCTTATGGCTGTGCATGAGACTCAAATGGGCCAATCATAAATTAGTTATGAAGAGTGGGTGGGAGAAGGGATTCCCTTCCTCGGGGGCTCTGATGGTAAGGATTGGGGCTGCTGCCCGCATTTCCCCTTATCTTCCTTTGTGATCATCTGAAAGGAAATGGGACTGAGAGAAGCTCAGGGACATCACGGCCCTGCACGTGTGTGCGTGTGTGTGTGTGTGTTTTGTGGGGGATCGAGTCCAGGGCCTTGGCACTGAGCTGCATACCCAGGCTTTTAACAAAATTTTTGAGCCAGCGTCTCACTAAGTCATGACATTGCCCAGGCTGGATTTAAACTTGTGATCTTCCCGGCTCAGCCTCCCAGAGTGCTAGGATTGTAGTGTGGGCCACCATTTTCAGTTTTAAAATTTTGTTTTATCACTGAGACAGAGTCCTGACGAGAGACGAGCACACCTGACGTCAGGCCCGATTCCAGACTCTCCTGGCTTGAGGTGCCTGTCCACGGCCGGCCTGCTCTGCTGCTTCTGCCCGAGGTGCAGTAACATAGCTTAGTGCTGGGAGGGCTCGGTGGAGGAGGACCCTGCTGGCTGTTGGCCACCAGGAAGCAGAGAGAGGAAGAAGACAGGAAAGGACCAGGAACAAGATAAAGTCCCCACAGTCATGCCCCATGATCCACTTCCTACAGGCCCCCAGCCCAAATTTCCTAAATGCCCATCACCTCCCAAGTCCGCCATCAAATTATGAGTCCAAGCTGGGTGTGGTGGTGCACACCTGTCATCCCAGCACTCAGAAGGCTGAGGCAGGAGGATCACCATGAGATCAAGGCCAGCCTGAACCATGTAGGGAAGCCCGGTTTTAAAAAAAATGAAAAAAAAATTATGAATCCATGAATATGAAGTTAGAACTCGCACAGTGCAGTGGCCTCATGCCAATGTTGCTGCATTAGGGACTAAACTTTCAACATATGAGCTTGGGGGGGATCGTTTTAGACCAAAACCAGACCACTACAATCCCCAGCATCTCTATCCTGGTTCTTGTTTTGTTTTGCTTTTTGTTTTCTTGGTATCAGGGGTCATACTCAGGTCCTTGTACTTGGGAGGCAGGTGGTGGAACCACAGAGCTAAATCCCCAGCCCAAGGACTTCTTTTTAAAGTTGCTTTCGGCATGGACTGGTAGAGCTACGTTTCTGTTGCTTGTGACAAAAATGATGTAAGACACTAAGATTCAGTCCCCACTCACTGAGCTGCACCCAAGTGCCAAGCCCTTTTTAGTACATGTACCTTTTTGGGGGGGTGTTGGGTTTTTAAAAATTTTTTTTGAGACAGGGTCTTGTTATCTAGTTCAGGTTGGCTTTAAACTGGTGGCAAATCCCCTGCCTCGGGCTCCCACACACTGGGATGACAGGCTATACTCATTGATAGATTAATTAATCCACTGATGTGCTGTGAGGAGGTGGGGTCTGCTGGGCAAGTTAGGGCACGCCTATGATCCCAGTACTTGGAAGGCTGAGGTGGGAGAATCCACTGTAAGTTCAAGGCCAACCTGAGCTACACAGTGAGTTTAAGACCAGGCTGAACTACATAACAAGATCCATCTCAAAACAAACAAAGCCGGGGGTGGTGGCGCATGCCTGTCATCCTAGCACTCAGGAGGCTGAGGCAGGAGGATCGCTGTGAGTTTGAGACCAGCCTGGGCTACATAGTGAGTTCCAGGTCAGTCTCAACTACATAGTGAGACCCTGTCTCAAAAAACAAAACAAAAAAAAAAAAAAAAAAAAAAAAAAAAAAGAAAGAAAGAAAGAAATGACTGCACAGAAGAGGCAATTCTAGGGGCGTGGCCTTGAGGGGGTGTGGCCTGGAAGGGTCTGTCTCCCTCTCTGGCGCCTCCTTTCCTGCTGTGCTTCCTGTCCACCATGAGGTGAGCAGTTTCCCCGCCAGGCGCCGTCATCTTGCCCTTTCTTCTTTGCAGCTGGCTGACCCTGGACTAAAACACGGACTTCAGAGGTCTCATGTCAGGTGCACTAAACCAAGTTCACGCCTTCTTTGAAACAGGATGCTCATCAGCCTAGAGAGGCAGGTCTCAGGCTGATTCCCAAGGCCCATTTTATCCCTGCGCCTCCCTTCTTTTTCCTCAGACCCCACACCTAAACGACGGGCGCTGTCCGAGGTACTGGCCCTTGCCGAGCCCTGTCTCTCGTGGGCTTCAAGGCCTCACCGGCTTCCTCGTTGCAGTTCATTTTGTGCATGCCTGGGCTTCTTCCTGTTTTGGACCTCATCATGACGTTGTGGCTTTTGTCAGTTTCCCCCCAGATGCTGCTCTGACCTGGGGATCAGCCACCCAGCCAGCCAATGCACTATTCAGCCTCCAGTCAACCATAACAGTTCAACCTGCGAGCTCCCGTTTAGCGCTCCCATGAGGGACCTTGCAGAGGAGCAGACGCAGGCCAGGGGAGTTATGGACTTGCCCAAGATTGTCCAGCACTTGGAGGAGCCAAGGTATGTTCTCTGGCTGTCTAGCTCTACCAGGTCGGGGTCTGTCTGGGTTCTTGATGTCCTGAATGAGGAATTGAGCAGGACACCCAAAGGAGCAGCGGGAGCTAAGATTTCTTTGAAAATGAAATTACACCCACAGAGTGGGAACGGGCCAGTGAGGAGGGCTCAGGGCGGCGAGGAAGCTTGGAACTCAGGGTTTGAAGGCCTAGGGTCTGGGGTTGATCTGAGGTTTGGCTGTAATGGCAGGGAGAGAGCCTCACCTTTCATGGCCCTCGAAGGAACTGTCATGGCGCTCAAAGCCCATGCGTGGGGCTGGAGGGGGGCGGGCGAATCTGCATAGTAAATGCCGTGATAACCAGGGCTACAGAGGCGCCAAGTTACCTGGTTATCTTTCCCCTTACATTTAGACCTCAGCATCTTCACTTCTTTTATATCCCTTTCTTCCTCCATCTCTTATTCCCCTTCCCATTTGAAAAAGATCTTGCTTCTGATTATCTCTTTTTTTTGTGGACTGGGGATCGAACTCGGGACCTTGCGCTTGCAAGGCAGGCGGCAGAACCACTGAGCTAAATGCCCGGCTGATTATCTCTTATTTTGCTCTTTTAAAAAAAATATATTTATGGGGTTCCCATTTAAGAGAAACCATACAATATTTAAGCTTGTGTGTCTGGCCGATTTCACATTATGCTCTCAAGGGCATCACTTTTCCTACACACGACTCAGACTTATCCTTCTTTATGGCAGAGTAGTACTCCACTGTGTAAGAATACCACATTTTCCTGACCCATCCATCTGTTGATGGGTAGATGGGTCCCTGCCAAGATTTAGCTGTTATGACTTGTGCTGCCATATACATGGATGTGCATGGATCACTGTAATATGATGGCTTTCACTCTTTCAGGAAGGTAGCTGGATGAGGAATTTCCACCTTCCGGTTTTGGAGGGCTCTCCACGCTGATTTCCACAGCTTTTGCACCAGTTACACTCCCTCCAACAGTGTGGACAGGCTCCCCCCCCAGGCACACACAGCCTTGCCAGCATTTATTATTTGCTTTTATTTGGTTTCTTGACGATGGCTATAGTTTCTGGAGTGAGATGGAATCTCAGTGTTGTTTGCATTTGTATTTCTCGGCTGGCCAGTGACATCAAGGATTTTCATATATTTGTTGGCCATCTGTACCTCTGAGAAGTGTCTGTTCCTTCAGTTGTTGGGCTGATGTTAACTCAGAAGGTGAATCCTGTCCCAGAAAGTGGAGTCCAAGGCGGAGCTTCCCTTCTCTCTTCAGCTCTTTCCGTCTCCGTTAACAGTGGGCTGGTGGAGTGGGGGCGCAGGGCCGCACATCAATAATCCCAGCCACTCAGGAGGCTGAGGCAGGAAGATTGCAAGTTCAAGGCCAGCCGGGGCAACTTAGCGAGACCCGCTTTCCAAGTAAAAACCTAACAGGGCTGGGAAAGTAGCTCCGTGCGAGTGCCCGGTTCTGTCCCCAGTACCCACCACCTACACAGAAAAAAAAAAAAGAAAGAAAGAAAGAAAGAAAAACTCGACCATGGAGAGGGCGGATGTAGGCAAAGTGACTTTTATTGCTGGCTGGGGCAAGGGTACAAAGGGACCTGGGGGCCTGAGTGTCTCGCGCTTCTCTTGGGCAGCCCCGATGGCGAGGCGTGCCCAGCGGCACGAAGCTCTCCCGGGTGTCGCTCATTCTCAGCGCCGCGGGGCCCTGGTACTTGCAGGGAAACCCCTCTTTGTAGTGGGTGGCAAAGAAGCGCTGTCGCCCCAGCGGGAACTCCAGGTGGCTGTTCTTGCACTGTGGAGCGGGAAGGTCGGCGGGACACCCACCCCGTCCACCCTGTGGTCCCTGGCCCACCCCGGGGCATCTGAGGCCGGGCCGAGGTGCCCGCGTGCGTTACTGGTGATTGGAGCCCGGAGGGGGGCAGAGGTGGCCCGGGCCGGGCTGACCACAAAGCTGACGCAGTCGCTAGAGAGACCCTAGAGGCGCGATGAGCCCCGGTGACTCTCGGTGAACCCGAGGCTGGGTCCGAGGAGCCCCGGGAGGATCCTGACATGACCCAGGGGTGAGCCAGGGATGGCCTGGAGGCCGGGGTGGGGCCATAAGGCGACAGTGTGCTCGTCCCCCTTCCTCCCCGCTCACCCTCACCCTTCGCTGCAACTCGAGTCACGCGCGCTCCAGCGGCTCCGTGCGGCTTCAGCACCGTCTGGTTCGTGGTTGAAAAGTCAAATTCTGCAGATTTGGGGGAGGCGACAGGGTTGAGGAAAGAGGTACTGAAGATGCGGGAAGGGTTCAGGGACGAAGGCTGACGTTGACTTGGGGCCAAGTATGGATTAGAAGTGCAGCTGGAGCTGGAGTGGTAGCACCGGTCTGTCGTCTAGCATTGGGAGGCTGAGGCAGGAGGACTGCAGTGGGAGCCCAGACATTAAGGCCTTGTCTCAAAACATAGTATTTTAAAAAGGGCTGTGTCGTAGGTCAGTATGAAGGCCCTAGGTTCAATTCCCGAATCTCTCCTCCCGCAGAAGGATTGAGGTTGCGGTGGGGGCGGGGCCAGACCCGGACTCTGGGGGCGGGGCCAAGCGGGACAGCGGCTGGTCAGGGGGCGGGGCAAGAACCTGATGAAGGAGAAGGGGTGGGCATTGAGCGAGGGCAGCTGGGGAAGGGCGGAGCTGTGGCTGCTCCCGAGGGGCAGAGCCATGCAGGGGGCGGTGCGGTAGCCGGGTGGGACGGGGTGTAGGGCCAAGGCCAGGAGGAGATAGGTTGTCCAGGGGAGGACCTGAAGTCCTGGCCAGTCCAAGGCGGGGCTTAACTCTGCGGAGGGCAGAGCCAGAGTCCCCTAGGAAGACAAGGCCGTGATGGGGCGGGTCTCCCGGGACGGGGCGTGGCTTCCCTGGGAGGGGCTTTCTATGGTGGGCGGGCGTGGGGTGCTCACCCCCGCTCCCCTGAGGCAGGTTGCTCTGTGTGAAGTGGAGGTTGGGTGCCTTCGGTGGTTTCCCTGCGTCTGGGGCACAGTAGGCTGAGCCCATGCTGCTTTGAAAGAAGTGTCCCAGCAGCTTGGGCTCTCCCAGGGTCACATGACCCTGCAGTTTCTCATGGGTCACATGGCGGCTGGGCGGCTGGGTTGGAGGTGGTGGCTGTGGGACCACAAAGAATCAAGAAAACTGCCAAATCTGAGATGTCGTGAAGCCCACGGGGAGCAAGACGGTTGGTGCTGTGTGGCGTGGGACAGCTCTCTCTCCCTCTCTGGGCTCCATGATGCTGCTGGAAATTGTTGTCTTACTGGAATGAGCCAGGGAGGTTTTTACTTTATTTACAGGGGACTGAACCCAAAGCCTTCACAGCGAGATACATCCCAGCCATTTTCATTTTTTATTTAGAGACAGAGTGCTGGGATTATAGGTGTGCACCACCACACCTGCCTAGATTTTTATTTTGTGGTGCTGGGGATGGACGCCAGCACCTCATACATGTGAAGAGTTTCTGAGTCAGGGTCTTGCAAAGGTGCTCAGGTTGATATCCAACTTTGGATCCTCCTGCCTCAGCCTCCTGAGTAGCTGTGGTTACAGGCAGGCACCACCCCACCAAGATATGGAGGTTTGAAAGTAACATCTCCCGGATAGCTCAAACAAATCTAAGCAATCGTTACACATTTACCAAGCTCACTCCTGCCTCGGGGCTACCACTTGCTGTTCTCTCTGCCTTTGAAGCCCTATCTCCAGCTGACCCCTCTACCTTCTCCCCCTGCCTGCTGACCTGGCCGTAGAAATGCTGCATGGAGGTTGTGAGGCTTCCAGGGCCGGGGCACCAGTTTCCTTTCAGGATGTGCGATTCCGGAGTCTGATCATGGTGAAGCAGGAGAGGCTCTGCGAGGGGCGAGGGGCGGAGTAGGAGCTGAGAGGCTTGGGGAAGCCGCAGAGGGAGGGAGCCGGGCAGGGGCAGGAGGCTGGGCTCTCACCTGGCTCCTGCACGTAGAAGTGGTCGCCCACTGTGGTCCTGTCGTGGAAGAGGCCATCTCCAGGTGGGACGCTGACACAGTGGATGCGGGTGGCCGCCTGGGTCTTGTACCTGCGGGTAAGGGAAAGCGGGGTCTGTGCGGCTCCTTTTGATTCCCAGAGAAGAGGGGAGTGCCACTGGCTGAGCCAGGGAACACTAATAATGGATGACTTGGCACAATATGGAGTCCTGAAAGCCCCAAGCGGCACACGCGGCCCCTGCCGCATGCCAACTGCCCATCTGGTGGGGGCGGAGGAAGTCGTCCCTCCTCATACCTGTTGGGGGGCAGCCCCTGAGGTGTGTGGGTCCGTTTCAACTCTGAGCACACTGGGCCACAGCCAGTCTTGCAATCTCCCAAATGCACGGAGGACGTGCCCTGTGGGCAGAGAGGGGTGAGAAGGCCAAGGCCACCGGCCCTCCCCCTGGGTGCCCCCCAGCCTCCCCAATCCTGCCTCAGTTTACCCTCTTACACATGGAGGCAGGTGGGCTGGGCAGGGCCTGGAATTGTCTCTTGTAGGAGGTGTCTTTCTGTCCCTTGTAGTCCCACCTGAGGGTATTGGGACCCCCTGAGGAAGGGCAGGGGGGGCGATCGGTTCAGTGCAACCCCAGGCCTCCTAGAATTCTCTCTTGCTTGGGGAAGGGAGCTGAGCAGTCCTTACCAGTCTAGACTGAGGGCGGTCCAGAACGTACCAAGAATGACAAGAATATAAGGGGTGACCGTACTGGGTAGCGAATGTTTACATTGAAAAATGATTACAGTAGGAGACACATTTACCCTTCACCCCCCTCAACCAAACACACTCATCCCACTGTTCCGGCCCACTGTCTGAAGCAGTTCTGAAAGTTTCGGGAGTGTCTTCGTGAGGTGCGATAAAAACACGCAGAACTCTGCTGTCCAGTTCACGGCCATCCAAGGGAAGGGCAGGTTCCTGAAGGCATCACCCCGTGTCCTCATCCACCTCTTCGCTGGATCTGGCACTGTGCGTGCAGCATGTGGCTCTCCTCCAAAGCCAAAACGTCCAGGAAAAGTCAATGTTGCGAATCGATTCCGGACACTGAGACAGCCGCAAGAGCTCAGCTGGACTCACAAAAGAAGGCTCTCAGAACCGAACCGCTTCCCAGAGTGGTAAGGAGGGGCTAGGAGATTGCTGGCAAAGTGAGCTTTTCATTCGTCGGTTTTAACATTTAAATGTTCACCTTATTTCCCAAGCGCATCTCATACATGTCCCCAGGTCAGAGAGGTTTCTCGGGTTGCTGGAGACACGCACAGAAACCACGGGCCAGAACCAAGAGTCTAACCGAGCTCTGCCGGTCCCTAAGCCCCGTTCAGAGGAGCAAGGCCCCGCAGCCGCCACCCCCGAACTGGAAACCTACTTTGAGCACCCACTCTGTGCGGGGCTCACGGTGCGAGCCGAGGCCGGCCAGCTTCGCCCGCTCCGTGAGGCCAGGCCCTGGAACAGCGCCTCCACACAGCTATAAATCGCAAAGCCTGGGGGTGGCCGTGGGGAGCCGACTGAACTCAGAGCAGCACTCCTAGCTTCTCCCCGCTCCATAGCACCCTGGAGAAATTCGGGAGGAAACTGAGGCCCCCGGAAGTCCCCAAGTGGCTGTTGGAGCCCAGTATTACTGACATCTGGAGCTGGCTAATTTTTTTCCTGTGGGTAGTGGGATGTTTAGTCTTAGCCTTGGCCTCCGCCTGCAAGTAGCACCCTCGCCCTTGGTGGTGACAATCAAACAACTGGGGAACGGCTGCGGAGTCCTTGCCCCTC